GGCCTCTTCCACGCCATCTCTCAGAAGTTACCCGCCTTCACCGACTGGGACACCAGACAACACGGTCACCTCCTTCATAACAACGTCTCTGTTTGTGAGGCCATGACTGAAGTTCGTCAACATGTCATCAAGCACGGTAAGTTGCAGTGATGTGCCCTTCACAAGCATAATCTAGTTTTTGCTTTCAAAAAGTTGCTAATATGATGTGCTGTACAGAGGCCTACCTGCGTACTCGCAGGGAGACCAAGTTTGATCGATACGACTTTGACTCGTTGTCGAACAAGTTCTTGTCTAAGCTGGTCATTCGCGCCAACTAGATACGACAGTAACACTCCAATCCGCTTCGGTGTTCATCATCGTCCACTGGCAGTGGACTGCTTTATTTCCTTTGTTTTTGCTTGATTTACTCGTTGAATATGGATATGCCAACATGCAACACCGCTTGTGCTACAGCCAGCGACGGCGTTTTTTTTTGACCAAATTGTTTTTGAGCGATAAAAGTCACCGGTAGTTCACCGCGATGAGAGCAGGGCAACAATCTTTTCTTCTTGCGCTCTTGTTTCTTGCGGATCTTCACTTCACGGCTGGTCACCGTATCACGACACGACGTTACCTGATATACGGTGCAAATGTGTTACGACCCTGTAACGAATTTTTTGCACGATTGTATGATGTTTTATTTTTTTTACCATTTGGATTTTGGGCAGCGATAGTGATGAAAGCTGATAAAGAGAACGGTTTTTTGTTGGTTTTTCTTGCTTTGGATGTTGGATGCATTGACGCAAAGTCAGAGAGTGATGCGTACGTATTTCTCTGGCGGCATGTCGACATGATGTTTGGACAAGATGAACGACGATGTGTGGAATTATGGAAACGACAAGACGGGCACAATGTTGCGATATAGATGAATATAGCGCACGGAATGAGAGAGTCCTAAACTATACACTAGGGCACGGGAGCATCATATTGAGCGAAATTGGGAGGCTTGGATGAAGGCACAACCAGCCTTGTTAGTCCACATTTGCATTGCACGTTTAGTATATACTAGGATAATGTCACGGAAGCGTCATTTGCGAATACAATTCACTTGGTTGAGATATCACATTTGCCAACGTTCGCTCAAGGACGAAACAATTGAACAGCAACCGTACTCGGTCACGTAGTTTTGCTTCGGTGTGAGGGTTGGGCATATCGGCATACGTTGGGACGCGATGCAAACACCCGTAACGAAGCACAAGACCCTGGTAGTACACATGTTCCCAATGCCTTTTGACGTGCATAGAAAGACGGACACTGGCCGTGTGTTATGCGATTGAGGATTTGCGGACTCTGCCACTAGATGCCCAAGTATTCAACTTGTAGTCAACTTGCACCCGACATATTTCGAAGAAAGGGTCTGGCGATTGTCCCACTTGGGTTCTTGGAGCCCCCCCCCCACACGTGGTACTGGTGACAACGTTGTAGAATGCCGAACATTCGACGCGATATTGGGGGACTCTACGAGCTTATATTGTAAAGTGCTTCACTGGTCATCGCGATCGTATAGAACATTTGTGCGGAGAGATTGTGATGGACTTGGGTGTTTCGTTAGGGAAGGCGGTTCCCCCCCCTTGCAAAGATGACGTCGGTGCCAGTGGCTGTCATTAGAAGTTGAGGACAAGTTTTGGCCTTGAGCCCCGCAGCCGACCTGTGCGCGAGAGACTGTCGACTTCATTAGATTGGTTTCAAGTCAATAATGCTTGCCATGCACGAGGACAAACATGTGAGAGAACAAGACAACCAAAGACCACGGGTGAACTTGCAGAGTTTCCTTCTTTTTGTGGCTTGAACAGACCGTCTGTCGCCTCGCTTTGGGGTCCCAAGGGTGGACTGAGGGTGAACTGCCGAGCCTCTCTCCGTGACCCGTACGGAATACGGAGCCAACACTCCGATAAGGTACTTAGGTACCTAAGTACTCTGTACTCGAGGACTAGCACGTAACCATGCGCCACCCGCCAGGTCCAGCCTCTCTTCTGATAAGGACGGCGCGTTGTGCATAAAGGCTTGCTGTGAGTCGGCGTCAGGATACAAAGCCGCGATAGTGGAAATAGAGGCTGAACAAGCTGCCGGCGATCGCAGATTGCAATACAGGCTGCATTCCGTGACATCGCAGGCCTCCGGATCCCCAACATCAGGGTTGAGCAGTCGGACCCACCGGAAACAGCGTTCACGCCTGCGAACTTGAAAGAGGAAATGTCTCTGAATGTCTCTGGTACGCCCCTGTCGCTGGGTTGTGTGCATGGAGAGCAGTTCGCCCGCCCGTGCCTTCTCTGCAGTTTACAGCCATGTGCTTCTGGAGTCTTCTAGGAAGTCCAGTTGGCGTTGACATCGGACGTTGTGAGAGGTGGGAGGAGACACGACTCAGCTGTGATTGGCTATTCTTGCTGATGAATCATGCGCTATCGTACTGCCTACTTCGGCGTACGGATGTGCAAGTACCTGTACGGAGTACTTGGAAGATGCCTTGGCCTGCTGCGTTTGTGAAGGCGTAATCCAGCCGCTTGGTTGTCACTCCGCCCCGCTCGCTGTTCGACCTGCCCACGTTTCGCCTCGCCTCCGTTTTGCCATCCGAGGCCTGGCCCCTACTTAAACTCCTCTCGCCTTCTGCCATCTTCACTTCACTTTCTCCCCCCGTCATACTCATCTCTCTTCACCATCTCTCCATCTCATAACTTTACCTAACGTCGCTAGGCGACTGCCTCTTATCTCTCAGATCGACAAACACTCAGAACACAGCGACATCCAAACGGACGCAGCCATGCAAATCTTTGTCAAAACTCTCACGGGCAAGACCATCACTCTTGAGGTCGAGTCGTCCGACACCATCGACAATGTTAAGTCAAAGATTCAGGACAAGGAGGGTATCCCGCCTGACCAACAGCGCCTGATTTTCGCTGGCAAGCAACTTGAGGATGGCCGTACCCTCTCGGATTATAACATCCAGAAGGAATCCACTCTTCACCTCGTTCTCCGCCTTCGTGGTGGTATGCAGATCTGTGAGTAGTATTTTTCCCCCTCATCCTTCCGCTCGCGGATTCTTCTCTAGCAGTCACTAACAATCCCATGCAGTCGTGAAGACCCTCACCGGAAAGACCATCACCCTCGAGGTAGAGTCATCCGACACCATCGACAACGTCAAGTCGAAGATCCAGGACAAGGAAGGTATTCCACCTGACCAACAGCGCCTGATTTTCGCTGGCAAGCAGCTTGAAGATGGCCGCACCCTGTCCGATTACAATATTCAGAAGGAGTCCACTCTTCATCTTGTCCTGCGACTTCGCGGTGGTATGCAGATCTTCGTCAAGACTTTGACTGGAAAGACGATCACATTGGAAGTTGAGTCCTCGGACACGATTGACAATGTCAAGTCAAAGATTCAGGATAAAGAAGGCATTCCTCCCGATCAACAGCGACTTATCTTTGCTGGCAAGCAGCTCGAGGACGGCCGAACGCTGTCTGACTACAACATTCAGAAGGAGTCTACTCTCCACCTTGTCCTTCGACTGCGTGGTGGTATGCAAATCTTCGTCAAGACGCTCACTGGCAAGACTATTACATTGGAAGTGGAATCCAGCGATACCATTGACAATGTCAAATCAAAGATTCAAGACAAGGAAGGCATTCCCCCTGATCAACAGCGTCTTATTTTTGCTGGCAAGCAGCTGGAAGACGGTCGCACCCTCAGCGACTATAATATCCAGAAGGAGAGCACCCTGCATCTCGTTCTCCGTCTTCGTGGCGGCCAGTAATTGATTGGACGATCAATGTTTGATATTGATTTCATGGGATGCTTCCGAATGGAAGCGGTATAAGGCGTTTGTGGTTTAATGGCACTGGCAATCGGGCTTATTCGCTGTATACCTTAGCTAGGCATCTGATCATCTGCGTGAGCTCAATTAACACGCCGAATACAAGTCAGTTTATATTTAAACATGGTGTCGATCGTACATGTGAATTGCCAAATTTGACATTCGAGACTGGGTTTGAATCTAGGCGCAGATGTAGGCGCCCGCCCGCGTTGTCACCTGGTCAAATGTGGATAGATGTAGTCCTCTATGTACTCGGTAAACTACTATATCTACAAGCATGCCATATGTTTTGGTCAGGTCATTTCCTAGCCAAAAATCGCTGCGTCCCGAGCAATTCACCTCAAGCCACGGCCACCACAGTATTTAGCATGGGTCACTGAAAATATAAATGCGGACTTTCGCCTGTTGAGATCCTCGGGACTTGGGAGATGCCCAACAATTATTCGATTAAGGAATCTATGACATTAAGGCATGGACACGCTCTTCGATTTGCCAAGCTGGATGGGTTGGTTTTTCGGGGAAACGAATGCTAAAGAGTTTATATTCTATCTTAGGCTTTTAAACCTTCGTGTAATGGTAACATTGCGATTGACACCTAGGACGGTAAGTTATATCCTTGGCCCGAAAGGGGGAGCAGAACTAGGTTTGATTCCTTGATCTAGGATTTATTTTTTTAAGCCATTCATTCATTACCTAGGGGGCGCAACCGGTGTTTTAGTAACTGTCACCAATCTCATTAGACTCGCGAATCTCACCAAAGCAGCGCCGCGCGCGTAATGTACCCAGTCAACCAGTGGTGGGGTGTCGGTGTGGTGGGGCATTTTCTGTCTGGTATGACCAAACCCCACGGGTACAATAACGAGCTAGCTCTGTCATAACTTCGAGCCTTCACTTTCTTCACTTTCTTCAACTTCGTCGCACTGTCGGCTATGTATGTGTAATTCGCCACGAAGCTATGATTTCCAAAACGCTGCAACTGGGAATACAGGAGCTACTGGGACTGCCTCTGCCACCCTGATACGCGGCGAAGTGTGACATTGCCACCCGATCTTCCTTCCACTTCGCTCTTAGCATATACGAATATCCAGCATTCAAATTTAAATCCGTCCACGCTGGAATCATCATCGCATACACCAGCTGGTGCTATAGGCCATGAATTCTTACTTTTATCATTTAAAGTTTGAACTGTACCCTACACCGGATCCGACAGGCACAAGCGGTCAACAACAAGCTGAACAAGCCCACCTTTGGTTGCCATCGCCAGATACGAACGTGTTTGACGACTTACCTTCGCATCCACACCCAGTTCGACCCGTGACTGGAGCTGTACCGTCATCCGAAAATTCTCATAGCTTTGTCGACAGATCTTGCTCTTCCCTGGCGTCGAGTTCTTTGGACAGCTTGCCCGACGGCGTGATCGATTGCGGCGTGTCGCGTGCCCCGGTTCGCCGCTCCGACAGACGACTTGAAATCATAACCGAGAGACAGTGGCTTGAGAGGGTGGATAGCTACCCTCCCCCGCCGTGTAGCGCTGCCTTGCGGCCCCAGACTGCCGTCAACGACTGGCGTTTTGGTCGAGTGAATATCGAGACCATCGACCCAGCTGCCGTCGGAGCTGCCGCAGGAATGGCAGGAGAATCGAGCCGAGCCGGTCCATCTGCGGCACCGGCTCTGGGCCCATCGTACGGAGGAGAAGGAACAGCTACAAAAGCCAGTTTCATACCGTGTGAGACGAAGAATACAGAAGTGGGATGGGGCGTCGTCCATTTTTATCGTGAGGGTGATGAGACGACTGCATTTGGTGAATCTTTGCAAGAACAAGACCAACAGCAAGAAGAGGCTTCTTCTTTGGAAGATTGCACTACGTTGTGTATACCTGCTGTGCCCGTGTACATGTCGCCCAGCGACTTGTTGGGTTTCGTGGGTGAACGATGGCTTGAAGATATTAGCCACTGCCGAATGGTAATGACATCAAGTATGAATAGGTATTTGGTTCTGTTGAAGTTCAGAGACAGCAGATTTGCAAAGAAGTGGAAGAGGGAGTTTGACGGCAAGGTTTTCAACTCGGTTGAGGTATGTCTGCTTTTGTTTCTTTTGCCTGTCGTCGAAGAGACATGCTAAGTGTGATTGTAGCCGCAACCATGCCACGTTGTGTTTGTCAAATCTATAACATTCGAAACACCAAAGCTGTCGCAACGAGCTGACTACTCCAAGGCTCAGTCGTCTTCTTCTGCCGTCTCCAGCAGCCTAAAGCCGTTTCCGCCACCAACGCCAAATTTGATTGAGCTGCCTACCTGTCCCGTTTGTTTGGAAAGGATGGATGAGACTAGTGGGCTGCTGACGATTCCGTGCTCTCATATTTTCCACTGCAACTGTTTGCAAAGCTGGAAGGGATCAGGTTGTCCCGTCTGTCGGTTCACGAATACGTCAGAGTTGGAAGGCACTCCCAACGATACGGCCAACCCGTACTCTCAGCCATTTGGATCATCGGTATCAAATCTGTGTACGGTATGTGACTGTGCAGATGATCTATGGATTTGTCTTATATGTGGCTACCTTGGCTGTGGACGATATAAAGGCGGCCACGCAAAGGACCACTGGAAGGAGACGGCGCATAGCTTTGCCCTAGAACTGGAGACACAGCACGTGTGGGACTACGCCGGCGATCTATGGGTACACCGACTTATCCGTGATAAAGGCGACGGCAAGGTTGTAGAATTGCCCAACAGGAGCAACCAGAGCGGGCGTTCTCTCGATGAAGATGTCGTGCCTCGAGCGAAACTCGACAACATTGGTCTCGAATACACACAACTTCTCATGAGCCAACTCGAGTCCCAAAGATCATACTACGAAGAAATGCTTAGCAAGGCCGTCGACAAAGCCGCCAAGGCTGCGGCGGCAGCGGAATCCATGACCCTGCAATCATCCGCTGCCACGGAGAAACTCAATGAACTGGAAGAGAAGTTCAAATCGTTAACCACCGATACTATCCCGCAACTGGAGAGGGACTTGGAACGGGAACGGAATAGAGCTTCCAAAAGCGACAAGCTGGCTCGGAATATGAGCAAGTCTCTCCAGGAGGAGAAGCGCGTCAACGAGGGACTCATGAAGAGGATCGAGCATCTGGGCAGTGAAAACGAGAAAGTGACGAAGCAGCTGGGGGAAATGAAGAGTGAGGTGGAAGAGCTAAAGGAGATGAATAGAGATTTGAGCATGTTTATTTCAGGGCAGGAGAAACTCAAGCAATTGGAGAATGAGGGTCAGCTTGAGGAGGGTGAACTGCAAGAGGGTAGCGCCAGCGTGCCAGAGAAGAAAGGAAGGAGGAGGAAGCGGTGATGCCGCGACAGCGAGGCATATTGTTGTCGTTGTTTTGGATCCTGCGAGAGAGCCGTATTACTTGGAAATTACGAGTTCGATAATGCGATTGTCTATCGGTGACTTTCACATTGACACATGGACACAAGTAAATAGCGAGAAGGGATGGCAGTCGGAATCGCCTCTCACAACCTTGGCCGGGGCATGGTGCCGGCGAAAGTCTGTCACAAAAGGCATGGGCAAGCGCTGGAAATCATTTGGCCGGCAGCATGTCTGGGACCGTTGCACTCGCTCGTACCAGCGCTTGACATGAACAAGTCTGCTCGGTTGGCTGGCGTAGGTGACACCCCGTCTCTTACTCTACTAGAGACCACTTATGAAAAGTCTCACCAGATGTCTTGGCTAGCGCGAACAGTTCCTAATTTCTTTTTTTTCCCCTGTTGTCCATGGAGCCTCAACTGACATGCGCTTGTGAAATGTTGCTAATCCGCACGTGCTTATGCCGTGCCGTGTCGCCGTCATCACAGACTGCCGAAACCACCGAGCCGCCGTCGACCAGGGGACGTGCTCACTAGGGAAAAAAAATTTAACTTGAGCCAGGCACCATTGACAGGATGCAAAGTACGGAGGGAAAAGTCGAAATTGCGTACTTGACGGCTGGCAGCTCGGCGCAAGGTTCGGCGGGCCCGCTACGGAGTACCTAGGTTACGAGAGTTGGTTGGGCACGGAGGGTCTGACGTTCGGTATGAGGAACAGGGGTGAGGCATCGGGATCACAGAGTGACATCTGGACATGAAGAGTCGAGAAGGATTCACGATAACCTGCCAGCCGGGGGGGGGGGGGGGGGGGACGGGG